CAGTGGGCGTCGGAGCCGCCGGTGTCTCCGGCCGGCTCCACCGTGGCGGAGGAGCCGGCGTTAGGGGAGACGTCGACGATCGCCGCGGAGGAGCCGAGGAAAACGGGCCACGCGGAGGGATCGAAAACTGAGAGGCCGCCGAAGGGGCACGGACGCGCGCGAGCCGAGCAGAATGAGAGCGTGCGAGGTCAGGCGAAGGAGACGGGGACCAAGGAGTCCGCGAAGAAGGGAACCGAGCCGCCACCGCCGAGGCACGCTCGAAACGTCACCACGACGGTGAGCTTTATCGCGAGTCTCACCCGGTCCGCGACACAAATGGAGGATCCCTGTTTGAAATATTAGATAGAATATGATCGGATTAGATTGCAATTAGTGTGAGTAGCTAAGATCATATTGTGTCTGTTATTTTAAGTAGGGGTGGGAATTGTCTCTTAAAATTTATCCTGGAAGTCATGCAATCGTGGAGCAATACGGCATTTTGAAGACTTTTACGAGAGTGTTCCGAAACTTTACCATACATTCTACTAGTAATTATACTTACAGATCATATGACATCGAAATGCCAGTAAAATGACACCTTTACCGGCATCTTGACGTTAAACTAATGACAAATAAACGTCAGCTGGGGTCTGCAGCTAGTACATTTTAGCAGTAGAATGTATGGTAAAGTTCCAAAACACTCATACAGTTCGTCGAAATGCCGTGTCGTCCCACGAGTGCATGATTTTCAGGGTAAATTTTAAGAGAAAACTCGCTCCGTATAGATTTTGCGAAGCGCGTAGCTGCAGACCCGAGCTGACGTTTATTTGTCATCATTTTAACATCAAGATGCCGGCAAACATGTCATTTTGATGTCAATACGACGACAAATAACGTCAACTATCCGCGCTATCTTTGTTGGCAGAAGAAGCTCATCATAGATGCAGGACTTGCAGTGCGCGACGATAGATCAACCTGCCGACGGTCTTATCCGCGAAGATACATCTCGATCGTTCGAAAGAATTACAAGCGCGTTACGATAGGCGCTTGTTTTCTATTGCTGCGCTGGTGAACTAGCGCAGTAAGCTAGAATGAAAAAAAATGTACTTGTCTTACTCTAGTTTGTTGCACTAGTTGACCAGTGCAGCGATAGAAAACAAGTCTAATGATCTTCTTCTCATGACGCCGTCTCCTTTCGAAGGTTGGCGATCCAAATGGCCAACATATATAGTTTTAGATACGGCCATGCGAAAGATGTCCACTGAAGTGCAGCCAAGTCTAATGATCGATCAACATTAATAAAGATACTGATGTTGAACGAGCAGTAATAACGAATGTTCCCTCTTAATCTTCTTTCGCTTCGAATGGTCCAGGTCACCCCAGCCACCCAGATGACCACGAGGTATCCGTATCCCACGGTGAGACCGCGAAGGACCAACTGTTCGGCGCCCGCCATAGAGCAGTTTCCGCGGCCGTTGATGGGCCCCGAGGCCAGAAAACACGGCGGGCTCATAATACACATTCTGGCCGCTATCTACACGTTCCTGGGCCTCGCGATTGTCTGCGACGATTACTTCGTCTCGAGTCTGGACAGGATCTGCGAAGGTGAGGCGAGCGGAAAATTGCCTCCCAGTGGGAACGCGTTGAAATCAACAATCCCGTGACTCGCGTCGGGTTACAGAGCTGTGCGTGGCTAGTTTTGCACAAGCGGATCGTATTTCATCGCGCGGATCCACCGCGAGATTTGTTATTAAGTGACAGACTCGATCCCGCCTTTTTACTGACAAAGGCTCAAGGTCGCTTTTGGCTTCCCGATACGCCTGACGTGGCACAAACTCCAGACGATTCTTGCGATTTTATTTTAAATATTATTATTTGTTATTATTGTTTCTTTAACGGAATTTGTCCCTTTAGTGTAATATAAATTTGCACATAAAAATAGCGATGACGAGTGCTGAAAACACCGTAAGACACACAGGACAAAAATTAAGATGCACAAAACTCAGCTTAAGAAATCATTGCAGTTTGTGAAACAGTAAACTACTATATATGTTAATAATAAATTGATCTCTTCCTTCCTTTCAGAACTGAGACTGTCTCCCGACGTCGCCGGTGCCACTTTCATGGCGGCCGGCTCTTCCGCGCCCGAATTGGCGACGGTCATTATCGGCGTGTTCTTCGCCAAGGACGACATCGGAGTGAGTATCGCGGTCGCGATCGCGCCTCGTACGCCTCGCTGCGTTCATTAAATTATTACGAGTCGCAAGCCACGTCGGGGTTACATAAATAGCATTGTGTAATCCGGTGTGCGAGAATAAATTTATTTGCTTTTCCTTAATTGCGAGAGGGACCACTTTCGTTATCGCGTCACGTCGATCTAGCTGACACGCGGCTACCAGCCGGACGTCCCCGCTTCGTTGCCTAACAGAGTTCGGCAATTAAATTCTTTTTCGCGTTTCCAGGTCAGCGGCGTTATCGGCAGCGCCGTTTTCAATATAATGTTCGTTATATCGATCTGCGGCCTATGCTCCGCGACGGCCTCCAAGTTGAACTGGTGGCCTCTCTGTCGAGACTGTTTTTTCTACGCCGTCTCGATCCTCGTGATGCTCGGCACGATTTACAACGACTCCATATCCTGGTGAGCATCGCCACGTATACCTGATTGCGTTCGATCGCGCGGATAGAAACCGACGCGGTGTCTCACAGACGAGAAAAAAAAATGCCTTTCAGGATGGAGTCTCTCTTCATGTTAATCATGTACGGGGTATATTGCGTGGCGCTGTCGTTCAACGTCAAGTTGGAACGTTGGGCGAAATCGCACAACATTCCGTTCCTGCCGAAGGACGACGAGCCCGCCGAGCAGAGCGCCCTGGTGAGCTACAGATCCTTACAGGAGGACCGATTATCCTACACCGGTCCCAACTCGCCGGTTACCGATCAAATGAAGAATCAGGAAGGTAATCGGACAATTCTGTCTCCTCGCATCTTTCGTATAGTCTCCAGAAATCTGAATTCGTTCATCTTCCTTTCAGGGAACGGCATTCAAGAGACGATCGAGCAACAGCAACAGCAGCAGCAGCAACAGCAGCCGTCGGCACCGAGGCAGCCCGAGTATTACAAAGCGAAGGAGCCTGATCCCAACGAAGTGTCGCCTCTCGTGATGCCGACGGACGGTAACAAATGGACCATGTTCACCTGGGGCCTTGTGTACCCCATCCACTTCATGTGCCGGGCGACGATGCCGGACTGCCGGCAGGAAAAGTGGCGAAGCTGGTACCCCTTCACGTTTTGCATATCGATGATCTGGATCAGTTTCTACAGCTACATAATGGTGTGGATGATCACGATCATAGGTAACGTTACTATTCGGGCCGTGAGCGATCAGTTTTTTGTTGTTTTTGTTTTTTTAGCGAATGGAGCCGTTTTAACAAAGTGCTCGACTTTACAGGTAGTACTCTGGGTATTCCCGACACCGTGATGGGGTTGACTTTCGTTGCCGCTGGTGTGAGCGTACCAGACGCCCTTTCCTCGCTGGCGGTCATCAAGGAGGGTCTTGGTGACATGGCGGTCAGTAACGCCGTAGGCAGCAACGTCTTTGACATCCTGGTATGCCTCGGTCTTCCGTGGTTCATACAGACCGCTATGATACAGCCTGGCTCGCACGTGAACGTCACTAGCAGAGGTACGCGGATGTGTCTATTTTAAAAAAATCCCTGTCTACAGAACGTACATATTTGTATTTGATATTGTTGATACATCTCGTTCTTGTCAGGTTTGACGTACTCCACCGTTTCCCTACTGTCGACGGTGGTATTCCTAGTAATGGCGACACATCTGAACGGCTGGAAACTGGACCGACGATACGGCATGGTCCTGATGGTCTGGTATTTGATATTCATCGTGTTCGCGTCGCTCTACGAGCTCAACGTCTTCGGCGAGATGAATCCGCCAGTATGCCCCAGCAAGTTCTAATGCAATGACGCCTCGTTCGTTTCCGACCTTTGCTTTGCTCAACGCGGAACGATCGTCCGGAGCAACAGTTCCCGGCCGATTGGCTCGCGAACGATGACGCACGCACGGTCGTAAATCGTCGTAAACGCTCAGCGACCTCGTTCGAACGTCCCTGTCCCCCTCTTCTTCTTCCTACTCGATATCGAAGACAGCGAGAGACAGAAGAGCTTAGAAGGTAGCTGCATGTCGAAAAGAAGCACGATTTTTAGCTTGCTGTGAAATTGTTGAAGCGACCGTTCGAGATTTTAGATAAGAGCAAAGGGCTTGTCGTTGAGCTTTCTTTCTTTCTAGGCTGTTGTAGAAAATCTAGACAATATGTGCTCGCGCGTGAGTACACAGGCATTGTATCCTATTGGTGCTATCGAAAGTGACAAAAGAGTATTTTGCTTGCTTCCGTTCGACTAACGAGTCCCGATCGAATTCCTACAATCGTGGTGAAAGTGTGGAGAGTTTATGAATTTTCCCAAGCAACTAAGTTTTCGGACAGACAATATGATATAAATTATGTCGTTATTGGCGGTATCGCGGCAGTGGTTCATCAAAGTCAGAAATCGGCGTTAAATCGATCGTCGCAAAGTTCCAAACTTCTCCGGTCTTAACTCTTAGTCACAGACCTCGTTGTACGTCGCGCGAGACTTGTTCGAATCGATGTAGAAAAGAAGATGTGATACGTTTTTTATCAGCCATATCGCGCAAATGCCTGAGTACCATGGAAGGGGAATGCGTCTTGACAATTAAATAATCGTTTTGTATCCTAACATTAGAGTAAAAGGATCCAGTAGAGGTGCGGCTTGTTAGAATAGATCTTAGGAGCGTCATATTTGCAGCTAAATGTTAAGACTGTTAACGGTGCTGTGTGAATCGTCGAAAGTCGATATCACTGCGGAATTGCTAGGAAACGTGAAATACTCGACGAGAGTGGGCGAGAGAACTCTCTCTCTGGGACTGTTGCCGGAACAGTTGAGCGCGATCCTTATATTATCCGGCACGATTTCGTAATACAACACCTACTTTTCAAATATATCTTCTATCGCGATACGCGGCGCGCGACGTACTGCGTGAAATGTGAGATAAGAGGAAGCGTCTTCGTGCGCTTCTCTCGAGAGGTAGAGGTGAATACGGTTTAGCTCTGATTTCGTTAAAAATATACCTTCGCCGCCATCCAAGTGACCGGAAGAGACGAGACTTCGCGAGATCAAAGGAGTTCCCTCGTTAGCGTGAGTGTAAACATAAACCAAAAAATCACTTTTTTCCAAAAGAACAGTAAAAAAGGAAAAGAACGAAAAGCCTTGCGAGGAATGAACCGAGCGAATTTTTCCCCCCCGAGTGACCGGGGACTAAATTCGCGTTCTTCGGCGCCGACGAGGCGCGGAAAATTCTCGAGAACGCTGGAGCAAGCGAAATTTCATCCCGCGACCAAAGGATACGGAGGTAGGAAGGGGGAGGGAGCGGGAGAATTCGTTCTCCACGAGGGCGAACGAGCGCTGAAAGTGACAATAATTAACGCAGCCTTATCCGATGAAAGTATCTACAACTAGCACTATTATACTGCGCGTTCCTTGAGACCGATTCGCGAAAGGGGTCACTTGTAAATCGGTAGACGGGCAAGAGGAACCTCCACCCACGGATAATAGTCGGCGTACCTCCGCTTCCGGGATCCTTTGATCTTTCGAGCGCGCCGGAATCGACGTCGATGACGAGCCGCGGAATCGCGCGACGGAATCCCTGCAGGAGTCGCGATTGAGAGATGAGGCTGCATCGGAAAAAAAAAATTCGACTTATCTCGCATACTTTGTATACTTAATTTCTTACTCAACCGGGAAACGATGAAATATCATAGTAATATATCAATTAAAGTGTCAATGATATTAAATACATGGTGGAGATGTTAAAAGTGTTAATGTATCGCCGAAGAGATATCCGTAAAATCCATTTAAATGACAAAACGGAAAACTTGGGTTGCTACGAGTAGATAGTTCAGGTATCTAAAAAAATTTCTTTCGTTCATTTACGTTTGAGAATCCTGCGAGCATTTTGTCCACGCAGCACGTTGGACTGTATCTTTAATCGGCAGTTTCCTTAATCGGGCTTAAACAATCGCAGGTATGAAAACTGTAAGAAATCGCAAGGATCGCGCAGACGCTTTAGTGTGATTATATAAATTTAGCGTACATATAAATATATATATATATAATATAATGCGAAGAAGCTTAGATCGTAATGACTATTGACCGTTCAACGTGTTTGTTCACTACGTTTGTCCGTTATTGTTAGCGCGTTAGAGCGATTTATGCATATAAATACTATTATTACATATATATGTATATGTGTATGTGTATATGTGTATATGTATATACGCATATGCATGTATATATTCGCGTTGCGATGCGTTCGGTGCCGATGGCGAAGTGGCCGAAATGTATTTCAAGGCTGCTTCATTCGATCTGCGGCAGAGACGAAACCGCAACCCTAACAGCACATGTTTAATTCTGAGAATATTCGGGGGATATCAAAAGGATATAGAATATCGCAGGGATATTTCGAGAGTGTCAGGTACATTCTTAGAGTCCAATCTACGAGACGTATCGGTATATCGTGTGCTGTTAAGGAAGCGTAATCCGACGTCCGCGGCGTCGGACGCGTCGACGCACGACTTCCAGGATTTAGGAAGCGCCTAGGCCGACAGTAAAGAGGCGCCTTAGATCTTCATTAAAAGCGGACCAGTCTCGCCGTCGACTTCGCGGGTCCCATACCGCGGCGTCGGCCGCATCATTCATCGAGGGAGGGTACATCGAACCTGGTGAACGAGTCTCGTTCGCGCGTACGGAAAAGCGAGAGGGAGGATTGTCAGGGGTGCGCTTTAAGGGATCTTGTTCGGCTTCGGCCTGAAATTCGTTAGAGGTTCAATTGACCTCGGGGAGATGTTTAGGATTCACGAGAACCTGGGGCGACCACCCCTGACGCGGAGAGCCGCGCGAGGACCCCGCGGGTCCGCACCTCGAGCATCAACGAATGAAAAGCGTTAGGGACTTAGAGTGCTAGGAGTCTACCCGGCGACTTTTTCTTTTCTACCGCGCAGCCCGAAACCGTCGGCCGAGACGTCGATGATCGCTCGGGGAACCGGTGTGTCGTTTAGAGTCAATTCACCTGTGGCAATTATTAGTAGTTAATTAGAGGAGCGCGGGAGGCGACTCTTGGAGGACGGGGAGGAGAGGGGGATGATGCATGCACCGTCCCCCCCTCGGTCTCCCGCTTTTCGGGGAGCGTCCGAACGTCGATCAATTCGAGGGTGTCCTTAATAGCGTGTAATCGAAGTCAATAACGTACCTTTTAGACGTCTCTCTCATAATTGTAATTTCGTGAGTCGCCCGTCCTTTACATAACGATGTTCCCCATTACCTCCAGCGGTTCCCAGAGGATTGCACGGGGAGGCCGACGACGACGACGATCTATTCTGCACACGCACACACTAACACACACACGCGCGCGCGCGCGCACGCGCGCACACACACACACACACACACACACACACACACACACACACATCCACCGTGCAATACACTTGTACAAAATGCAGTAGGCAGGATAACGACGTTATTTAAAAATATACGCAAACAATATCGAGGGTAGAAACCGAAGGGCGTCGGGCGTAGCGGGGATCAGACGTAATCGTGTTGTTGACCTACCGGGATATAATACGTAGATTTTATATCACGACATTGTGTACTTAGACTATACATATATATATTACCTGATTAATTAAGTTTATACAGCCGTCTCTCCTCTACCTGCAGTATTATCCCAGTCTTCGCCGCGTACAATACGTTCGAATACGTTCGTACCTGTTAAATCGCGAAGGAGAGAGCCCACTTCCCTCCCCGTTCCGTGTCGTATACAGCAAGTCGTCTATCGACGAGTTTCCTCTCCGGAAGATCCACTCGACGCCTCGCTTCGCATCTCCGAACCCGCACTCTCCTCCTTGCAGTCAGGACGCAACGGCAGACGCGGCCGGCCAGTGGGCAGCTACGAAAGTAATCATAATTATATAACGAGACACACAATTATATAGGCACGTAAGACGTATTTAAAAGAAACAAGAACTGCATATAGCAAGCGAAGAAAGTAGACGTACAACGAATACAACGATATATCGGCTGCCGCTGTGATAGCCGCGCTATTTTGCCCGTACCGCTTTCAGCCGTCGAGGGAGATTTCCCCGAGATCTCCTTCTCCCTTTCCGCGCCGCCGTTCACGCGTCGTCGTACAAAAGAGAAAAAGCAACAAGCATGCGAATCACACCGGGACCTCTCCGACCTGTGTCTCTTTCCATCGTTATTCAAGTTTCCAGAAGTATATCCTAACGCGTCAATATATATATTGTATCTAGTCATAGCTTATTACAACGTTATGTAAATAATTGTTCTACCAATGTCGCATATATAAATATATATATAAGTATTATATATATTTATAGATTTAAATATATATATTATATATATACACACACATTTGGCAAATATATATACATATATATGTATGTATACTGAGAGTATACGCGCGTAGTAAATGCAAAGGGTGATAGCAAGAGAGCCTAAAATACATATATATCTATATATATGTTATACATAATAAATTTATGCGCCACCTTTCGTCGCAAGGAGAGCTATGTACCGGATGGAAACAATTTAATATTACACATACCTTGTTTAGCTTGAAAGCGGGAAGGAGGTAGACTAGTTATGTACTCTAATGTACTTAAAACGTTTCAACAATAAAGCTATTGCTACCAATTAAAATTTCGATCTCCGACGGCAGCGGCTAGCCGTGTCCTTAGTCGCTGAAAATCACGTTTGCGTGCAATAACGCGCGCGGAGTTGGCGGCATTTATGTTTTATCAAATTTTACGCATTTCAATTGGTTCACACGTGCGTAGATATTTTAATGCACCTCTGCAGTCTGCGCTCTTAACGCGCAATGGATACCCGCCTTCGCGACTATTCCCCAGCGTTCTATAAATACCCACGATACATGAAAAAATATATAAATATAAAATATAATAATATATTGCACAATCGACGCGTGGGTCCTCGCGAATTTATGGTGGTGGCTTGAACGAAGAATACGCGCGGGCTTTCGGCGTGGCTCAAGAATCCGTAGTCTTCTGCTCTAATTGATGCTGTGTCTGTTGACGCTCCTCGTTGCGCGGCATATCGCGGCTCGACAGAGGCTGCAGCTTGGGCGGACAATTGTCCAGAGTCGACTCGAGGGCGTAGAGTTTGTCGAGTTGCTGCCGAATGTGATTCAGACATTCGAGACGAACAATTCGCCTGCTAGGGTCCACTGAGTCTCTACGGATCGTCAGGCCGTTGAACAATAACTGCCAGCCGTTCTCCTGGAGTTCGCGAGTTATCTTCTCGAGGGTCTCCGGCTCCGTTTGCTCCTGCTGCACAGGCGCGTCGTTCTGACAACATACAACTTTTATCGCACCGACGCAGGGATATGCGACCGTCGTAACATCTTGTTTGCAAAATTAGGAGAAAAAGATATGCAGAAGTTGAGGGAAAAACTGAAGGAGTCCCAAATGTATCAAGAAACAAACAAAATTCCTAAAAGAATATTTGGAATAAGTATATTACATTTTATTCTCATTTAATTTGTCTCGCAACATGCGAGACGAAAAACATATTACCAACTGTTGCGATTTTCTTTTATGGCTTTTACCTTAAATGCCTTTGTGTACAGAACTGAAATTAAGTTGTGTAAAAAAATCTATGGACTTCTTTAAAAAATTATCATTGATATTTATAAAGAAATTTATAATTTACTTTCGTTTAATTACATTTCCCCTAAAATTGTGAATCTTTAAGATATCTCCTTTCTCGTTTTGTCCTCGACCTTTGTATTTGGGCATTTTCCTCACCCGTCTTTCCCGATATAAACCGAATGAAAGTACATGTTTGCAAGAACAAGTTAAATGCATATCGTTAAATGTACTTTGGCGTTGTCCATGGTCCCGAGCATGCGATCGATCGATTCCAAAATGCGAGTTTTCGCCGCGTGGAGATCCAGCTTCGTTAGATGCGCGGATTCCCTCGTGGATCTGTTGACTGACTGATCGATCAGCGCGGACGACCTACTCTCCACGCAACGGGAGGCGACGTCCCCGAGCTTTCTCGATTTCGCCGTTCTCGCGACGTCGGCTCTCCGTCGCTCGAGCCTCTTGTCGTCCTCGCTCATCGTCACTGTCGCCTCGCCGTCGCCTTGCTTCGGCCTCTCTAGATGATCGAGTGAAGGCAGGGCCATGATGAGTTTCTCCAACTCGACGTCGCTCTCGTTCCTCGCCACCGCGACGTCGTCACCGTCCCCGTTGCCGACGTAACGACGCCTCGGTCCAGGATCTGGCACGCGCAACGTCCTCGACTGGAGAACGCGCGGGATACACTTCATCGACACCTCGCTCTCGGAACATTCCTGCTCGTCTGGCGATCTCTAGAAGATATCAGCTGAATTTTAAGACGACGGAGAGAACCGTTGGTCACTTTATTTATATGAAATAAATTACGCCTCTCCTTTTCTCTGGAATAGCATGGACCACGAATATTCTTCACGCATCGGAGAGCGAGAGCGTTAGTACCTCAGGCTGTCTGCAACGATTGTGTTTCTTCAGCGAGCTCTTGACGGGTGCCGCTCGCGCGTACTTGGAGCAAACCGCGATATCTTCGTTCGTCAGTTCCGCGTTCGCGGCATCTCCCTTCATCCTGAACGGATATCTATCGCGCTCGGTTCTTCGCTGATGGCGGGTCTGCAGCGGCCGTCTGGGATAACAAGAGCGAACATCCGGTTGACACTCGTGACAGCATAGCTTCTGCGACAGAGGACTGCTCTGCGACTTCTTGATGGCCTGCGAGCTCATCGGCTCCGCGAAGACGCGCTCACATCGATTTATCATTGCTTCCACGTTTTCCGAAGTTCTGAAAGGCATCCTCGATTACAGGAGTTATTTATCCTCATCACTCATGAAGATTAATAATTTTTGAGAGAGAGAGAGTGCTCAATCAATCAATGAAGCTGAATGAAGCGTAATTATTTTCGCGAAAAGAAAAAGGAGAAAAGGGCGAGGGAAATTAAGTCGTGACGATTGCAATGTTTAAAAGTAAATGGAAATTTCAATTTTCCAGTAATAGCCAGGGCCCTTTACCTGCTCAGAAAAGTTCTTTCGGGGTCACCGAATAACGAGAAGAGATAAACATCAAAACCGATATCGAAGTTTAACTAAAATAAAGTCTGCTCTGTGCGTGAAGAATAAAATTGCGTGTAGGTGAGAATAGAAAAAAAAACCGGAAGTTTTATCGCGCATGCACATCTGTGCCTTAGGTCTACATAGACTTTATATAAAATTTGTAGTTAGTCGTTAATTTACAGCTCTTTATCAAACAGGTAAACGCAGAGGGTGCGTCCTCACCTCGGTCTACCGGGCGAAGAGAATCTTCGTCTCTCGGGCGGGCAGTGGCACGAGGGACAATGCTTCTCATAATTTCTCGTTCTCCTCCTGTGTACCGTGGTGCCACGCGGCATCTCCTCGTGCCCGCAATTAGAGCAGAGCTCACCGTGACGATACAATCCGGCGTACGCGCTCGCGGGCATTCTCTTGTACAGCTCCATAGTTTCCTGAAATAAGTTGCAGCCCGAGACGGACGCGAGAACCGTCGGAGACTTGATCCTCT